AATGACACTTATCTACATCTGCAGTATTTATAATCTGATTAACCTGTTTTGAAGGGAAATACTCGTAGTTCTTCCTTGTTGGACATGTAAATTTATTTTAACAACTAATATCCAAATTCCCAAAAGAAGTTATGCAAAAATCATATACAAATAAAATGCCTTTTATGCTTCTGCTGTAGAATGTCCAGAGAACTTTTTGTTGTTTAACTGGGTAAACCTCTCAAGTCTTTTGCTAGTCCATTTCTTCCTGGCAATTACTTGCACAGGTACTCTTTATCAAATTATAAATGAAGATGCCATATTTACTCACATGCTTACTGATAACATTTATTGATAACTATGAGGGCCTTAATACTCTTTAGAATAGCCTGTATTTTATAGGCTGGAAGTAGTTGCAGTCCTTAAATACTTTCCAGTTATTTTTGTTTCTTATAGAAAACATCTGTATATTAAAAAAAAAAAAAAAAAAAAGAAGGATCTCATTTGTTATTCTGTCATTAGGTAAGCCTGACAGTAAGCAGAACATGTTCTAAAAGCTTGCATTGTATTACTGATGTTCAGATACTAGAATCTGACAGATTGATCGAATACAACAAGAATTAACATAAAAAAAATACTATGTGAGATAAAGAGTTTTTAAACTCCGATACGAGGCACATAATGCATAGGTTCAAGTTAATGCCTTCAGAACAGACAACGGTTATGTGGCTTTAAGGTAAACTGAACAGATGGTGAGGATTGCACTGGTTATTTAACAGGAGATATGACAAAAACCACTGGATATAAGTATCTTCTAGAAACACAAGTTGCAAACTGACACAAGAAAAGACAGCTACATGGCCTTAAAAATTAATTTGTGAGGCACAAAATGGATATTTTCTCCTTTCTGTAGATATATCAAAAACTGTCTCTACAGGAGCATTCTCCAAAATTGTAGACCAAAGTTGCCTATTGCATCTAGCTATGAAGATGCAAGACGCAAGCTACCAGAGGTAGAACCGGTGCTATCCTTCATGCTGACACTGAGCAAGAGAAAAGCTGGTAATGTAGGGGAGCGAGCATGGGAGCACACATGTAAGGTGCTATTTATATTTCTATTGTGGTGTAAGGGTCTTTTATATGTAGGTCATTTCTTGCAAAGTTTGACTAATATGTCATGCTTATCACCTGTTTAATTTTTATCAGATTTATTTATTCCTAATAAAAAAAAATTAAAGCCACAAAGAATTGTTGTAATAATCGTTTGTGAATTTTTTGCAGGCAATCCTGTACAGGTGACTGAAACTTCTATTTCTTCTTATCTTAAAGAACCTACTGCACTCAAGACTATCCAAAGAACACAGCCTAATGGCTGCTTTCCTGCCAGTTTATTGTTGTGGTAAGGGCTTAGTCTGAATAGTATGTTTTTTTAATCTGATGACCGTGGAGAAAATAAATTGAGGAAATATAAGTGTATGATAGAAAGCAATAAAGTGATTTTGAAGTATTTGAGACAGAATAATTTTGCTCACAGGAGGAGGCTGAAATTTCTTTTTCTCTCAGAACTCCAATAAAAGGGAAGGTTATTTTTTTTTTCTTCTAGCTGTATTTATCTGTCTCTTTTAAGGAGGAGGAAATTAAGTAGTCAAATTTTTAGTTACGACTTTTTTAGATCAAGAAAAAACATTTATTAAAATATCTTGTGGGGATTGAATCTACCAAAACTGAAAGAAGACATACCTATACAAAAGAACGTGTTGGATCATTTTTGCTTTTGCATAACTTTAAAAAAAAATAAAAATTGAAAGCTAAAGCAGTTAAGTGTCTTTTTAAATAGGTATTGGTGTTCAGGTATTTAGTTGGTCATGGACTGGAGAGGGGTTTTTTGTTTATAAAGTTCTGTGTGGTACTGCTAGAATCTAAGGTTAATAATGAGGGAAAATTATTTCTGCTGAAAGAGGGTTATAACTAAATGAATGATATTTTAAAAATTTCACCTTCACATTTTATACTCCAGTGCAAGCATTGGTTAGAATTATCCAGTTTTATGCCTTCTGCCTTAAATAGTGACCTGTGATTATTGCTGTCTCTCTCTTTCCATTTAATTGAAGAAAAGGATTTTGGCAGAGTTGTTCTTTTATCTTCTCCAAGGGCTCTTTGAAGAAATAGAATGTTAAAAAGGTTTCATGATTGGAAGCATGAAAAGGGGTGACTAATAACCCCTCTGCACATCCTGGTAAAGATTACTTTTCTGTCTAGACCTCGACAATTTGCACTAGAATTCTTCAAGAAGAGAATTCTTCAGCATGGGCAAAAGTAATGAGTAAAATACTTCATGACATAATACTTTTTCTAGTCTAATTAGTCAATGTTGCTGTTTAATAGCACTCTGAAGCTCAGTTATCTTGCAGAGAAACGTTACTAGAGTAAACCAAGTAATTGTTGTTTTGAATTCAAAACTAGCATATTTTTCATTGTAGAGCATAACAAGTACTCCTTTGTTCTTTTTATTCACAATTTATAACTTTCGTTAATGGGAGTCCAGGAGTTTATGGGAGCCCAGTCATGTTCAGCAAACTGGGAAGACATTAAGAGTGGTAAATGCTTGGGGGTTTTGCAGAAGCGCTTCATGTGATACATTCTATTCTCAGCATAGGTTAAAATTAGAACTAGACTGACATTGCATTGGAGTCTGAGTGAGAGTTCTGAATGGTTCTGGTAGTACAGAAAAGATTTGTAATTTATCTCTGCTTTTGCTAGAAAGCAATGAGTAATAGAAAATCCTTGAAAACACCAAATAATTGAGGTAAGTTGTTGTTAAACTCTTTCAGATGCTTGGAGATGAAGTTGTTGGAGATCTGATTACTTGGGAGTAAATTTGCAGTTGTTTTACAGCCATGCTTGCGAATTGACTTCTGAATTGTTGGCTGTGATGGCATGATTATTATAGTTTTGTTTTCTTGACAAATAACAAGATCTAAGAACAAGAAGCTTTTGATGGTAGTCCTGTCATTATATAATTAAATCTCCTTGAAAACATAGTCATATACTTAGGCACTCTTTGGTGGTTTTAAAGCAGTATTTATTGAATAAGATGCTTTAAGTATTTTTTTGACTATATGGTCCAATACTGGTTTTAGTAGTACAAGTATTAACAAATGTCTCTCTTTCTGCACAATTTATATAAAAAGATTCCTAGTTTTCTACCTAAAAAGGTTTATAGTTCAAAAAATGTCTCTAATCAACAAGAAATGATAGATCAGATAAATCGCTTAATCTCAGTAGAAGTTTAATCCTGAAAAACAAAGCAATTTAAATTGTAACCACCAATCAGAACAAAAAAACCTCATACAATGTTTTAGTCATTACTGTTGCATATTGGAATGAGGAATGGGAAAGGTAATTACTAGGAGGACCACTGAAAGTTAACCCTTCAAACTAGTAAATGTGATCGCATTTATGTGGAGGAGAAAAAAAACAATCCTCTCTTTAGAGGAAAAAATTCAATCCCTCTTCAGGAATCCAAATGCCGGACTGCATTGTGCCACATTGTGGTTGCCGTTTGCGTCACTGGTCAAACCCTGCCATTTTTTCTTAACAGAGAACAGTTAAGAATCCTTAATATTAACATATTGGACTAGATTCTTCTTTATTCAAGCATTATAATTTGATTTTTATGCTGTCTTTACAACAAGAAACAATCCTGACAATTTACATTTCTTATTATTTGCCTATACATTTTTAATTAAGTGATTTCAGTATAATCAGACTTTACAAATAACTATGTTAGCAAAAGACATGGTAAACTAAAATAGAATGATTGACAGTTTGAACACAAAAATGTTCACTAAGCAATTGTGGCTTATTCATGCCATACAAAATTATAATAGAATAAATATGATAGAAAAGATTGCTCTGAAAGACAGACCTGCAGCAAATATATGTACAAAAGGACCTGAAATTCCACTTTTGTAGTTATCTACCTGCTTGTTTGGAAGAAAGTTATTCTCACTTTTTTGGTTTGAATGGATATGTAAGACATTTTTCTTACTTGTCCATGCAAGTATTAGTAAAAAGTTGGAAAGGGAGCATTCAGATCATCAGTGTTTAGAGTACACTGCTGTTGGCATAAAGTTTAGCCCTCCAAGCTTATCTGAATATCAGTATCTTGGCTCCAGTGGTGTTTTTTTTTTTTTCCCAACAAAACCCATCCCCAAATGACTACAATAACAGCGATAAGAATGTGTTTTAGAGGGATGCACTGATTAGGATGACTGAGTATTCTACTTTGCTGCTCTTCAGGAAAATACATATTAATTATCTCACTAAGGAACAGATGACTTCAAAACTTTTTTTTTTTTTTTTTTATGTGGATCCTGACACTCAGCAGGGCTACAAGAAGATTCAAAGAGAGATCTGAAGAATTTAAAAAGCCTTTTCTTAAAGGTAATACATTACTAACCCTAAAATATATTATAACAAGTTAAACTATGAAGAAAATGAATGCAAATAAAGTATACTATTTCCAGGAACAGTTCAGTTTCACTAAAGTGCAAAACTCCTTTAGTTAGAAGTATTTATACCAGCTAGCTGCGAGGCTGCAGCTACCAGGATTTAACTGCCTTAAAATGCAGGGAACAGCCTAATTTCTTCCTGGGAAGGTAATGAATGCTCATATCTGCTTTTAATAATTATGGTCAGTAGTACTCAGCCTACCACTGGAAGGAACTGAGAGAAGCAGTTGTTCACTGACTAAAAATGCAGAGAGATTGCAAGAATACCATTTCGTATTCTAAGAAAATTTAACTAGGTGCAATTATCTATTTTTATAAAGAGAAAGCAGTTGGTAAAGTTCTGTCAGTTCTGTACATTAACTAAATTTAACAATATAATCAAGTGGGTATTGCGGTATTTTAGTTTTCACGTTACTGTCCCTGTCTGGTAGCTGATACATACACTGATGCATTAAGCCTGAAATTCACAATCAGATTCCTGTGACCGAATCTGAACATGTAAGGATCATGACTGAAACTGCAGTTTGCGTTGGAACATTCACTGCTGTGAAGACACTTTGGGAAGTGAGAATACACAAGATAAATGAAGAATTACAGAAAGAAAAGGAATTCAGACAGAGGTCTGCAGGAAGGTAGGTAAATTGTAGATCTTTAAGTATGTGAAAAGCTAGACCATATATTACTTTTCAGAAGACTATCATTGGTCTTTTCAAACTCATCCGGGGTCTAGTTCTTTAGCCATTACTCCAGCAGAATTCCCACTGGTTAGAATCTAGCAATATGGTCAGGACAGACCAAGAATTGTGTTCTGTCCTAAAAATATTAGCATATATACTAAATCCCCTAAATTCAGATATTAAAATTATCTGCTGAGTGGATATTCTAACTAGCGGAGATTTAATGTGTTATGCTTTCTTCTCAATGGAGGCATTAACAGGTTGCTTGGTCTTCTGTCTGGCCAGCAATTTCATGAAATGTGAAGAAATATAGCATTCTGTTTTGGAACTCTTCCTAATTTGTCAGACGTGTTTGAAATGGAATAACAAATTCAAAAGTTACTAATGGAAAATACAAGCAGAAAGAAAGAGAATTAGCCTGATTTTCATAATTCTTCTTTAAGTCCCCTTTGGAAATCAAGCTAAAAGAATCCCTAGCTGATTGACCTTGTTTGATTGCAGTTGCATTTGGTGGAACTGAAGGCTTTCTTTTTAGGAGACTACTTCAAAATTAATGGCTTTGGAACTTAATTCCACATGACTTTATATTCTGTTGCCCTGCTGCAACATGGTGAAAGTGAAGTTACGTCTTCCTTCTGACTGTAAATTTGAAAACTGTAAAATATAATTTCTGTAAATTACGTCAGCCAAACATTACTTTATGTTCTTATCTTCCCTCAAACTGATAGTATATTTAGTATCTAGGTATAATAAATGTTGTTGACATCCAAAAAGGCTACTGTCTCTTTGTTCCAGAAAATAGAATGGATAGTAATTATTGCCTGTATTCATTGTTGCAGCACTGACAGATCTTTCCCTTGTAGGCTACTACTTGTCTGGGAGGAGAAAGCAGCTTTAGCAAAGCTCAAAGAAAAAGTTATTAATGAAGATGGAAGAGCAATTTTAAGGATAGAGGAAGAAGAATGGAAGGTAGTGTTGGCAGGGATGCATGTTGCTTTGGTTGAAAGACATGTTGCTTGTGTTGAATGACTGATGCATTAGAAAACTACTATTTATGACTTTACACTCACAGTTGTACTATTTTTATTCTATGAAGTACTCGCTGTGTGCTTTGCTAACAACGAATTGAGACACACTGTTGTGAGAATGTAAAAGCAAGCTGATTTTTTTAGTCCTGAATATTAAGCATTACTCTGCAAAAATGTAGCCCAAAGGGCTTTTCTGCATGAGAAACAATTATGTAAATTCTCATTTAACATTAACACACCAGAACTACTGAAGTGTATTAAGGTGAAAACCTGCTGTGTTTAGGTGCACGAAAATATTTCTTACTGTTATTTACTTTCTCTTTCTAAGGCTGAAAATGAGCCAGTAGTTTCCCAGAATACTACTATTCTTGTTTCTAATGCATGGGGAGAAGCGGCTCGCTGTAGAATCAATGACAGAGTGGAAGCTAACAGTCTGTTCTGAGCCACACAGAAATGTAGATGCAAGTTCCTATGAAGCGATGAGAATTAGACCATGTTGAGGCCAGTGAGAGAGTGACAACCACACCCAGCAATACTCTGGTGGTCCATAGGCCAGTGTTCCTTGTTCAGAACTCATAGCGTACAGACATTGTAGTTTTTCTATCCCTTGGCTCTTCTGCTCTCAGCTGCTCACTGTTTTTCTTAACAGAATAGGAAATACAATCTAGATCACCATTTAAATGCAAAAAGCTATTTAGAGCAGTTTCATCCTCAGTTATATTGTTATTGTGGTTTAACCCCAGCCGGTAACTAAGTGCCACGCAGCCACTCTCTCCCCCCCACCCCAGTGGGATGGGGGAGAGAATCAGAAAGGTAAAAGTGAAAAAACTTGTGGGTTAAGATAAAGACAATTTAATAAGCAAAGAAAAAGCTGTGCACACAAGCAAAGCAAAACAAGGAATTCATTCACCACTTCACAGGGGCAGGCAAGTGTTCAGCCATCTCCAGGAAAGCAGGGCTCCATCACACCTAACGGTTACTTGGGAAGACGAACGGCATCACTCCAAACATCCTCCCTTCCTTCTTCTTCCCCCAGCTTTATATGCTGAGCGTGATGCCATATGGTATGGAATATCCCTTGGGTCATCTGTCGCAGCTGTGTCCCCTCCCAACTTCTTGTGCACCCGCAGCCTACTCACTGGTGGGGTGGGGTGAGAGGCAGAAAAGGCCTTGGCGCTGTGCAAGCCCTGCTCAGCAGTAACTAAAACATCCCTTTGTTATCAACAGTGTTTTCAGCAGAAATCCAAAGCATAGCCCCATCCTAGCTACTGTGAAGAAAATTAACTCTGTCCCAATCAAACCCAGCACAATTGGCTTCATTTAAAAAAAAAGAAACAAACAAAAGCAAGTCTGAGGGTTTTCAAGCAATGACAGTATTGCAGATAACTAAATTCTGGGAGCAAAAAGTGGGCAGGTTAAATCTGTGGTCAGAATGAACCACATTGATGGTGTTCATTTCAGGCTGTTACAGTATAGCTTGAGAAGAGGGAAAGATTTCTTTTTTTCCTTTTTTTTTTTTTTTTTAATCACAATACTGTTACTGTTTCAAATAAAACTTCTACCTAAGCCTGTATTCTTGTTGTATACTCACCTGAATTTCTTCTGGTTCATGTTTCTTGTCTTAGACACTACCTTCGTGCTTACTGAAACTAGTGCATCTCCAGGAATGGCAGCTTCATAGAACTGGTTTGCAGAAAATTCCTCAGTTCATTGGAAGATTTCACAATCTTGTTGTTCTGGATCTATCCCGGAACTCAATTGAAAGTGTACCTAAAGAAATTGGTGAGCTGTGCTTTCTTTTATTTTAAGTTGCTTTTCTAAGAAAATTATTCTTACACAAACATGCCATTTTTGTGGACTTTGGCCGTCTAACAATCCTATTAGGTAATCAGAAAACAGACAATTTAAATCTGACAGTGAGATAGAGATCTTAAAACCGTGGATTCCCTATAAATTAAAAAAAATGGCTGGATGGAGGAGATGTCTCTTTATGAAAGCTCCCCATGAGAAAAAAAGCCTTGTAAGCGTAGCAGGTACTAGACATCAGAATGCAGCTAGAAAACTGATACTGGAAAACAGACTTCGTGTTCTGAGTCCACAGCATGAGTAGCCTATGTTCATAAGGGTTGGGGTTTTTTTTGAGTTTTTAGGGGTTTTTTTGGTAGCACTCGACTAGACTAGAGTGCAGTTCTGTACTAGAGAGTCCTGAAGTCCTACTATCCTACTATTTGAATTTCAGTGAATCTTTTTTTTTTTTTTTTGTGAGAACACAGAGCACTCGTATAATAGTATAACACAAAGGATAACATAAACCAAGCAATATTATATTTCTAATAGAATGAATGTGAACATTTATCATTTCTCATTTGTGCTCTCTGCAGGCCAGCTGACTAGCCTCCAAGAGCTGCTTCTCAGTTACAATCGAATAAAGTCTGTTCCTAAGGAAATAAGTAACTGCATCAGTCTGGAAAGATTGGAACTGGCTGTGAACAGGAATATCTGTGATCTTCCTCCTCAGGTTTTGACAGAGTGTTTTGTTTTGTTTAATGCCTGTTTTGAATTTATCCAAAACCAATTATCATTAAACAACGTTGCACTCCATGTTTTCAGATTTGCTTTTATACTCTGATTTCACAACTACTCCACAGAAACACATATGTGAACGATATTTATATGACTAGTCAAACTGAAGCCACATGAGAAGGACATACATATACTGAGTAGTTGAAGAAGCCAATCTTTATTTGTCCAGATGAAAGACTTGGTAGTGCATACAGGACAGTGATACACTTAATGTTACTTTGTTTAGGCTGAAAGGCTTCATTACTTTAGCCCACCAAGGCTCTGACGCCTTAGGACAGAGAAGTTGTTCACTTTTATGGTTGAGAATACGAATTTGTACCATATGCCAGGACACAACTATAAGCATCTTTACCAGAACTGCTAGCTATGAAAATGGTTTGTGTGATTTATACAACTGCCTATGCACAAAGAGTTGAACAAATGTTGTTCTGAGACATTGAAAGAAATGAAGAGAGAATAAAAACTGCTCACCTACTATTGAGCTTTAATTTGGACTGACCTAAATGTGAGACACCTGCATCTCTAAGTATTAGTCTCTTAGATAGAGATGACAAGTATACTTGTTTTAATCTATTTTAAAAAAACAGTAGTGGCAACAGTTGACAGTAATCGGCGCCTTGCAAAATTGAGTGAGTCCAAACAGTAATACCTAACAAGAAATCTTCAAATCAAAATATACACTATTAATCAGAATCCAGAATTTAAAAAATCTATGTGGATACAGATTACATGGTATAATGTAGCGTGATAGCTTTTAAATTAACCGCTCACAGCAAATACATAGTTCTGTCCTTCTGAAACTACAGTGATGTGAACACTATGAAGGTTTGGTTTTATGTACTTGAGTGGCATTCAGTGTTTAGACAGTTGGGCCAGATTTGTAATAGAACATCTTTGCATCACTTGAACATTGTAAAAGCACCTGAAGGCATGATTCACCAAAGGACTTAGGTTTTGCAATACTGAATGATGCTGTTTAATTTTTAGAATGTTTTGCCATAGTAGTAAACTTCACAACATGGAAGGTGTCTAGGTTCACTTACATACAGTCCATGCAATTTGATCCATAAGAATCTAAATATTTGACTAATGAAAAATGGCATATTGCATGGAGTATGAAATACTAAGGACAGCGGTGTCTTTAAAATTCCTTTTCTTCTCAAGGCTTGGGCTGTATCTACGTTGTAGTCATGGCATTCAGCTTTTCAGCAGTTAGGGCACTCACTACCACGTGGGAGATAAAGTTCTTCTGCCTGATCAGTTTCAAACCTACCTACCTTCCAGGTGAGAACTGTAATTGATAGGTAACACCAGGTAATGTAACTCAGAAACCATTCTGTGTACTAACTCCAAAATTGTTTCTTTTTTTCAGTCATCATTATTACAGCACTGCTGTAATGCAACAGCTATACAAACTTGTATTAAATCTCCCTTTCTTTTCAGCTTGCTGATTTAAAGAAGCTTTCACACATAGATTTGTGCATGAATCAGTTTACTACCTTCCCTTCAGCTCTTCTCAACATGCCAAATCTAGAATGGTTAGATATGGGGGGAAATAAACTCCAAGAGCTTCCTGGTGCAATTGACAGGTAAATAAAGCTCAAAGCTCACATCTTAGTCTCAATTCCATTGCATTGAAATTCTAATTATTAAATCCTACTTCAAAAGATTATTTTAATGTTAACCTCACTGCAAACTTAAGATTTATCAGCCCCAATATGATATTTTGGATGAGCTGGAATAATCCACTCACTAAACAATAAATTCAGTATCAACTATCAAGTTAAATATTTCTTGCCAATGACATTTTTGACCAGAGGTTAGGTTGAGAATTGTTGTATTCTTTATGAGATTCCCTTATGTGGCTGTAAAAATGAATCAATTATTTTATATTAATGATTGATAAATTAATTTTCTAAATCTTGATTGATTCTACAAATACTTATTTTACAGAATGGAAAATCTCCACACTTTATGGCTACAAAGGAATGAGATAAACTCTTTGCCAGAAACTATTGGTAATATGAAAAATCTTAGTACTCTTGTTCTTAGCAACAACAAACTCAAAGATATTCCAGCTTGTATGAAGGACATGACAAATCTGAGGTAAGAAAAAGCAACAGAAATATAAATAAAAATACTAGAAGATAAGTTTTAAAACCTCCCTTGAGTTGTCTATCAGAGAGTGATACTAAGGAAGTGGAAAAGAAAAGGCATGTCCACAGTTGTACAGATGGTCACAATACCATATAAATCCACATAATTACACAGATTCACAACAGTTGAGGATCTGATCAAGGTGGTTTTGTGTAGCACAACTCATTTGATGAAGTAAGCTATGATAATTACAGTCCCAAATGAAAAAGGAGACTGTAATACATTTTCTCATTTCGGAAAGGTCCAAATGCCCACTTCTAATTGGCCTTTTATATCAGTCTCTAAGGCCAAGAGATGAAATACGTGACAAGCATAAAAATGGCAAAAAGTAGAACTTGGGCACTGAGAAGTCAAGCATTCAGAATTAAACAAGAAGTATTAGGTATATTGATGAAACTCTCCTGTACTTGATTTGAAAAATAAAAAAGAATGAACGTAAAATTTTAATTGGTAGAATTGGAAAAATGACTGTGACTGAAACTTTCCTGTCATTTGCATTTTCATTGGAATTATTGGATGCTGGCCATTTTAGAGAAAGAATGCTAGTCGAAATAAATCACGTCTAACCCAGTAAGACAATTTCTGCTTTCAGATGTTTTGGAAGAAGCAGCACCTCTTTAAACAAACACATAGAAGCATAGGCCCAGGGATGGACCAAGAAGAGAGGGAGACAGGGCTGGTTATTGCCTTGCAAGGTTGGGAGGACACAGGCATTTGTACTCTTCTCATCCACTCATCTGTTTGTGAAAGGTCAATAAGGCTGACAATGGGGTGAAAATCTGAAGACAAAGCGATGAGGACTGCAATGTTTTCTCCCACCACAATAACTACTGTTATTATAAGGCATCTTAGCTTAGTTTAATTAATATTACTAATATAGTAGTGAGTTTATTATAAGAAAAGGCTTGTTTCATTTTGCTCAAAATACTGTTTGAGGAATCTTAATTCAACTTCAAAAGAGTTGTTCTCTCTCGACAAAACATATTGCAAGAGTAACCTTTTCTGCTGAACTGTCAGATTTGTCAACTTCAGAGACAACCCACTGGAGTTAGAGGTAACACTCCCTCCATGTGAGAATACAGAAGAGGAGGAGCAACAGGAAATGTTCGGCATTGAATTCATGCACATGTATATCCAGGAGTCACTCAAGAAAACAGGTATGGCTGTTTATTAATTCTTATCTCTTGGGAATACAGTGATGAAGGGAAGGATAAACTGGATAAAAGAAAGCTAGGATACATATACAAATGAAACATGAATAATCTCCTTAATAAATTAGTAATGTTTTAAAAAAAAAATAAATCTGTAACCAGATTTTCACTCAAGGTAGGGGTGCTTTTATCAGGAGTTGGCACAGTAGGTCCTCACATGAACAGCATGTATTCTAGCAGGACCTACTGGAACCATGGAATAAATGTGCCTGAGTTACCTACAGCCTGGATAACTGGAAGTTGATGACTGTCTCTTGAACTTGCACTTTAATCAGAGTTTACACAGTGTAGGTCTTCCAGCACTATTTGTCTCATGAAGCTCAACTTTGCCTATTTTTGGATGTTGTCCAGATGGGGACTACTGAAGAATGATATAAGGGAGAGATGCCTGTATTCCCAACATATGGCATGTTTTAGCAATGAAGCATGAACACCTGATAAACAGATGTTTCTCACAACTTGCTTTCCCTGACAGGAAATCCAGTCACCTAAACAGCCCCACAATTTCATTCCATTTCTGAATCACTATGACAAAAATAACGCTGTTAGTAGTCTCAAAGGTAACAGCTTAAAGGTTGCAGTAGGAGACCAAAATAAGCACTTTTGAACAGATATGCAGATGGCTGCTGTTACTTGCAGAGAGAACTTCATTGCAGATATAAAATGTTCTCTCTGATCTTCGTTCTATATATCATGAAGGCTTAAAAAATGACTGAAATGTTCTTGATTTAGAATGGTAAGCCAGCTTTTTTGCTTATCAATATTTCATGAATGAATAATCAAATCAACAAAAATAAACCAAGATGACAGTTTACAAATAAGTTTTCTTCCTTAACAGATTCCCCTAGCAGCATGGGGTGATGAAAGTACCTAGGCCTACTTAAATAATTTAAGAGGAAATATAAAGCTATCCTGAACTTCAAAGTGAAAATCAAGTATGTTAATTTCTCCTATTTTAACCCATTGTCTTTCAGGAAATCTGGAAAGTTGTACTTCTGATCCTTCTCCTATCATAAACGCTAACGAATCAAGAATGTAACTGTGAATGGAAGAAAATATCAAGTACACTTTTTCCTAGCAAAGAGGGGTACAACAGGTTTCAAATATTCTTAAGGATTTTATTTTTCCACTTACGAGAATTGGTTGGCATATTTGTAATTACCAGTGAAACTGGGAAATATAAGACCTTTTCCTCATACAGGAAAGACTAAACCAGTTTTTTTGTAAGCGATGAATTAGCTTTTTTAAAAAATCCAGATAAGTTTTACATTTTTTTTTCCGTACCAATTCCAAATCTATCTCCTGTCATGTAGTTGGCTCTGGTATCAAAGATGGACTTGGGACAGCTGTCAACAGGACATTCTCCAAGGACACAGCAGCCTCTGTATAATACTGTAATGCAGCCTTGTATCCTCGTCGTCGTAAATATTCAATCCGGCCATGATCAATCAGCAGTTTACAGAGGCAACCTATCTCCTTTCGTTCTTCAACAGTAAGTATCCTAGTTCCATGAAAAGGAGGAAAAGAACAAACAACATCTGTCAGAAGAATAGTTTTGTTAATTAACATTAGTAGTTAAGCTTAGTAAAACTCTTGAAATCACTGTAAGTTTATTTCAATTTAGGCAAGCATGACTGTTTAAATATTTTGAAATGTGTGTCCATGAAAATTGTCTTTTTAAAGTAGAATATTTCTATAAATTTAATAATTAAAATGTTTCTGTAAAATTACTTATTTTGAGGACCCAAAACAATTTCATATACCACTATACATAATTTTGCTTTTCTGCAGGAGTCCATTTGCTGGAAAAAAATTACATACCCTTGTAAAGTATCAGAACCACTCTCTGTCTTGCTGAATGTTTGCTTATGCTCTTCTGTGTCATTAGTTTGATCTTCACTGTCTTCGCTTGTAGAGGCCTTGGTTGTAGTTTCTCGCATGCCACAAGTGGCCCAGCTACTCATTCTCTGAAAATAATTAAACTCTACTGGTCCAAGTCCTACTGATCTAAAGAACTCTCTGCCTACATAATGTGTCCAGTCACACTTGTGATGGCAACACAGTGCAATAACAATTCCAGCTACAGGCTTACAGTCTTCTTTGTTACTTTCATTATCAGCAGAACTGTTAGAAGCCACCTCTGTCTTATCAGTCCTAGAGCGTTTTGGTGCAGGCTCTTCATTTTCTCTATCACAGCAAGTTGTGTAACTTTCAACCAAGCATCTCAAAGCAAGATCTGGGAAGAAACAGACATACCACCCCCCCAAAAAAAAGAGTGATGAACACCATGCCGTTATTTATACAGGCTGTATCATGGTTGAGAATGTACTTCCCACAAAGGAGAATAAAAGTATACATCACAAACTAAGCCAAAAAGCAATTTTAAGGGTAACTAAAAATTACAAGCATGCTTTGAAAACATGAAAACCCTAAATGCTAAATTGATTTTATGAGACCTTTGGAGCTACTGAGGGCTTATCCTCTTGAATGTTTGTTCTACACAAGTGAATTTGAAATACTTTGGTTAACAAACTGGCATATTGTAGGAGATCTCCTCCCTGAAAAACATGCAAGTATTTGCTCTAAAAATTTGGTATCTAGGACACAATCTATTTAAGATGAACATGTACTTCTTAAATGTTTGTAACTGAGTCATCTTTCTAACAGTACCTATATAGATGTCATATTTGAGATGTCTTTCTCTACTTAGTAGACATATAACATTAGAAAAAGCATATTACTAAAATTATCTGGACAGAAATACATTCTTCTTATTTGTTTGCTTAGGATACATATTTAGACAGCCATTACAAATTTAGAAAGAAAAATATTTCAGAGGAGAGGCGATGGTGTTAAAAAAAAGATACTTTCAATAGCGTACAAATACATGACCCATGCCACCACACACTATTTGTTCTACTCAATAAAAAATAAGCAAGGTTTTACTTCTGTCTAAAGTAGCCTTGCATCTATTATCCAGTTACTATTGCACTGAAGTCAATAGATATTTAGAATATAATTGCTACATTCACCAACAAAGGGTTAGAAGGCAAAAAAAAAGCTTAAAAGGACAGTTTGGAAGATCAGTCCATTCAGATTGTAAGATCTGATATCCTAACTTTCTGCAGTTAACACATACATAAATCATACCTGTCGCAGCACCACACAAATGCTTCCCCATTCCTACCACTGGTGTTTTTTTCTTCTCCAAAATAGGTACCTTATCTGGAGGGGAAAAAAAAAAAAAAAAGAAAGTAAGTCCACAGCCCCTGAACCTCTATTATTATTATAGTTGGGGCAATATTTTTTCTGGATAATGTAATTTCAGCACACTTAGAAAAATAACTGTTTACCACTACTAAAAATACAGTGCTCTGTACATACAGTTATAAGCTATTCAAAGGAAGTTTATTTTTCAAAAACAAATGAAGCAAATTGGATGCTGTGGCTGAGCAGCATAGTTAACCATTTCAGCCTTTCTATATTGCCTGTGAAGTGTAAATACAACATTAATGCATCTCCTGATGACAGGTGTTCACACATTCTGTACTATTGATATGCACAGCATACCAACAATATGCATGACTTGCTTCATTCTGCACACCTATAACAACAATGAAAAGGTGTTTAATCCTGCAAGTTCTAAAAAAACCTTTAAAATGTTTTTGTTTTGGTACTTCTCACCTATAATGATGTCCTGTAAGTGTGTAAAAAGCAGAAAATTTTCTATCTCCATTTAATATATATGTACGTGTATATATGTATATAGACACACCACTGATGTGTCCAAGCAACCACTGAGAATAATCTTTAAAACCAAGTACATTTAAGCATGCTACATAGATGTAGTCTTGAACTCCAGTATTAAAAATATAAAATTAAGCCTCTATTTCAGAATTACGCAAGCCAAGAAGGAACTTACTTAAACATAAATGTTGAATATCAACTTGAAGCCTTTCAAATACAGAATCTCTCCTTTTATGTTTTCCATCCACCTGTGTAAACAAAACAAGATCATTAAGTAGGACTGGCCACTTTGCTCCAGGTATTAATGCCGAACTTTTTTCCTGTCAAGTCAACATGTGCCACATTTCCAACATTATACACCAGGATTTTTTTCTAATAAATTTGCTATTGGCGAAGTATAGAATGTAGGTAATCACACTTCTAAAACTTAAAATTGAAATGCTTTATGTTATTTTTGAATATAAAAAGCAAATACTAACAGCTTCAATGACACCAGTTTAAAAACTATACCCTGCTAATGTGACAATATCCTCTCTTACCTTGAATCTTGTAGCTGCCCTTTCCACAAGCAAAAACTGAGTATCTTCAACATTCTGTAAAGCAACATCAACCCAATGAGACAGCTTTCCTCGCCCAGCTCCAAACTCAACAAAACATCTTCCTGGACCAAGTAAATGTAATTTTTCCATATTACCTAAAATAGAAGCCTACAAACATCGAAAGATTATTTACGAACCAAGCAAATATATACCCTCTGTATTGTAATGCCTGATATAAAAATTATTACTTCACAAAACTGCAGAAGACTTCTTCAAGTCTTCCCTTTCATGAGGGGTTAGGGAAAAGATCTTGTGTGTACAGAGGAAAGGGATTATAAATTCTGGCTAGTCAGCATCACCTTGCCCTCCTTCTACTGTTCACAAAACTCTAACCAGAAGTTTTTGGAATGGATTTTTGGGATCAGGTACACATTATAAAGTTCTCTGCTGATTCTTGAAGTAGCCACCCACAATACAGGTACTGTACTGGATTTTCGGTGAAGCATCAGTGCCTGCAGAGCCCGCCCTCTCTGCTGCAGTTACACATTTTGTAATACTTGGGAAAACAGAGCATGGGAAGAAAGTACAGGAAACAGGCATTTTTAAATTTTTCTTCCAAAACTTTCTATTTTGCTACAGTATGCAATCCATCTCCCTTAAAA